TATTATTATATTCATGAACATATGTTGGTTTTTCAACTTGAGTCTGTGTTTTCTGAATGATTGTAGTATTGTTTATATGGTTGGCATCGAGACACATAGTATGAAACGTCAGAACCCGTAAGGTGAGCTCTAGCTGATGCAGAATGTTAGTTGATACGGATCATACAAAAAAAAACAGGATAAAAACGTTGTAGTCTTCATTTTTTTCATGAAGATAGCTTTGAGATATACATACGCCGAAAACAGTTAAGGGGTTAAGAATGTTTTCAATGAATCTCACAAAAGATATATTATGTAAAGCTTGAACTTTCGGTTTTTGCTGAGTTAGTAAAACTCAACATAACAGGAAGCTTTTTTGGTTTAAATAATTTATCTAAAGATCCTTGGTTACAATCTTCTTCTAATGAGTGTGCTTTTCAACAAGTATGATGTAATCGGGTGTTTGGTAATATCACCACTATCAAACTGAAATACATGTTGCTTTTCAACGAAAACTATACAAGTTATCTTTGTGTTCGTCAGAGACGTCCATCACAGTTAGAGGTCGAACGCTGCCGCGATATTATAAAACATGATCTAGAAAAGTATTCTATCCTATAATCAAAATATACGCTTATATATGCCCGACAAGTAAAAGTTAGCCACTGTATTTGACCTTCTTTTATTCTCAAAAAAGACTTATTCGGAAAGTAATTATGCAACTAGATAGCTCTTTTCAATCTTTATCAAAATGTTTCCTTTGATCATATCTGACTTTTATATGGTGGAAAATTAATCGAGTAGAATGGAAACACGATGATAATAAAATTCTCAAACAGTCGATTGTATCTTTGTCATCGTCGTATTCAATACTATGGATGAATCTTTGATTAGATATCGAGTTTTTGTAAAACTAGCTAGATATTCTGATAGCTCTGAAAATTCACTTGAAAACAATTATCTTTTTATACTGTGATCGTTTTTCTTCAGAATATAATAGTAAAAAGTTTAGAATTTTTGCAATTGAAAAATTTGAAAATATGGATCTTATTCGACCCATTCAATCACATTACCATCTCTCTTTGGATTAGGTTTTCTAAATAGAATTAGATATTTTTCTAGCTCATCAAATCCTCTATTACATTTTATATTTTTATCTGTCATGGATGCCTACAAAATCTTCCAATAATATCCGCTGCTTGAATAGACTGACAGCAAGGAAGCAATGAATATGAACGTAAAAAGACAGGATCGAAAGAGAAGAAGAAGATCTTATGTATAGCAGAAGATGTGGCTCTTAAAGGAATACAATCGATACTCACGTGACTGATTAAAGAAACATTCTGATAGACAAAGAAATACTGAACAAATTGAGGACTACATCACCAGAGAAATCTTAATTCATCTTTTTCTTTTCATTCATTTAGTCATCAACTAAAAGACTTTGTTGGTATTCATGACAGATGAAAATATAAAATGTAAAAGAGGATTTGATGAGCTGGAAAAAAATCTAATTCCATTTAGAAAATCTGATCCACAGAGAGATGGTAATGTGATTGAATGGGTCGAATAAGATCCATATTTTCAAATTTTTCAGTTGCAAAAATTCTAAACTTTTTACTATTATATTCTGAAGAAAAACGATTACATTATAAAAAGATAATTGTTTTCAAGTGAATTTTCAGAGCTATCAAAATATCTAGCTAGTTTTACAAAAACTCGATATCTAATCAAAGATTCATCCATAGTATTGAATACGATGACAATGATACAATCGACTGTTTGAGAATTTTATTATCATCGTGTTTCCATTCTACTCGATTAATTTTCCACCATATAAAAGTCAGATATGATCAAAAGAAATATTTTGATAAAGACTGAAAAGAGCTATCTAGTTGCATAATTACTTTCCGAATAAGTCTTTTTTAAGGATAAAACAAGGTCAGATATAGTAGCTAACTTTTGCTTTCCAGGAGTATATATTTTAACAGAAAACATTAGCTCATAACATTTGTCAAATATGATGAGAGTAGAACATGTCTTGCTGAAAGTTTAACAACATGGTTTTATATAAAGTGATCATGTAATAACATGATGATGCTACTTATATTTCTATTAGACATTGAAAGAGCAATGGAAATGTATCCGCGGAAAAAATGGCATTGTCTTGAATCATTATAGAGTGATAATCTCAATTATTGAAGATCTCTTCACACAAATTTTTTTCTCAATTTAAAAGTTTTTGCCGCTACTGCTTCGGGATTTTTAATAGTTCGTTGCTACCGCGCCACTAACTCTGTTGCGGTAGCGGCAGTGCCACGATGGACATCTCTGACAACAAGATACTATATTTTTCTCATATATTTGTTCTCGATTCATGCGATCGATTTATAATCATTGACTAGCCATAGAATGAAATTTTTCTTTTATCAGCCATCATCATGCTACTTACAACGATACGATAAAATTTTAATTGAAACTGTTTTGATTAGTGCTTTATAATATCGCGATTCTAGAGATAACTCAGAATTCAACAAACTTGTCTGAAGATTCATAATCACGACGTTTTTCGATATGATAGAAGGAGTTGATCACGTAATGTCTGTTCAACAAAAGAAATTTTATACGCACATCCACACTCTGCTATAAATAGAATAAGATAGCATAACTTAACTTCCAAGAAAAAAGAATAGCAATGATCGATTGGAATAACGAAATTCAATGAAGGAAAAAAACGATCATATGTTATGTGACTACATGACTGTCAGAATGATGATGAGTTAGCTTTTGAAAAGAATAGATATGAAATACCACAGTACAGGAATGATTGCGTATGATGATAATGCAAACACCCATACCCAAAACAGAAAGGAGAGAAAATTTTCAAAAACTAGAATTTTTCTGCTAAAATTAAGCAAGTTAGTAAGTTTATGGAACAAGATAGAAGTAGATTATGGAAACTTCTTGGTATTATTTTATTCAAATAACTATTATAGAAATATTATAACAAAGGATTTCATTTTACTTTGTAAATAAGGGCATACAAAATTATATATTTAGTTGAGTAAAGATATAATTTCCCACAGCGAAGAAAAACAAGATTGTTTTGACAGTATGTAGATGATTGATTTGCGCATATTGCTGTCTTTTTTTTTCCTGTTAGTGTTGTACATTTATACGAACGACGAAGAGAAGAAGCAGAAAAAGATTAACGTTGTCAAGAAAAAAAAACAAGATACGATGTCATCAACGACGTACCCAGAAATTTTCTGTTGGGGGGGGGGGGGGACGGGTGGACCAAAATGAAAACAATAAGAAAAAAAAGGAGGTTTTAGCTTGTGGAAAATAAGTGACATGTACCCCCCCCCCCCATTCAGGCAATTTTTTTCTTAGGGAGGATTGGTCTCCCCTAAATACGTCACTGGATGTCATAATATTGTCATTATTATTTCTAGCTTACTATGATACTCATGGATTATTTTTTATGGGGATATCCTCTTACTATACAAATTACGAATGGGAAAAAAAACCATAGCAATGGTTTAGTTCTCAATTGAAAAAGAACCAGAATGTGGGGAAAAGTATTCTTGTCATTTTTTGCTATATGATTAGATGCCAGACACATAAAGAATTTTTCAAATATATATAAACGAGATTATGCTTCACATTAGTCACAGAATAACATCGATACTAAATTAATATTCTTGTCTTGATCAAACAATATCCTCTACGAATATAACAAGTAAATGTATGTATATATGACACTGTAGTCTTTTTAGGTGTTTGCAATAATAAGTACGAAAATTTGTACGCCAAAATAGTATATTCATAATTTATGATATTATTCTTTGACATGACCGTCATCTCTTGGTGGTGAAATTGTTTCAAAGTCCTTTACAAAAAGAATAACAGAGATTAACTACTATAAAGCCAATCACTTTAAAAAGCCTATGACTAGTATTGACAATATGATTCGTGATTTCCACCTTAGAAATAAGTGTTTACGGTCTTATTCTTTTTAACCATTTGAAGTTATTCGGTCTCATAAGTTCAGAGAAGGTACTGCATGGTAAATAAGTGTTCCATATCGTGAGGAGAGGATTGTTTTCATTTAATTCAGAAGTAACACGGTGTCTATATTCTTCTTCATCTTTGAAAACTAAAAAAGAATAGAGAACTAAGGAATTTTTAATGAGATAACACAATAGAGTGAATTCTAAGATGAAAACAGTTGAGTTCTAATTATTTTCTACTTTCATATGACTTAATTTTTCATATCTAAGGTACCTCGTATGTTTTATGAAAATACTTTAATTATCGTTCAAGTAAAATGGTTTATGATTCGACAGAACTAAGTGTACTTATGCTCAATATCGTATTTTAGCATACTCTGAAAGCGGTGCAAGCTAATCTTCAACTTGAAAGTTCATTAAAACTCGATTAGAGTTCGTTGAAAATACATGGATCTGATGTAGAATTCTTCTTTTTCTGTCATAATCTATGAGTGTTTTAGATATTCAAGTGTATGCATTTCTATCGATAAATTTTGAATGCCGCTCCAATCGAATGATTTTGGTATGAAAAAATAACTTTTCGTTTTTTTCTTGAAACGCTCACTTTTCACGCTCTTCCCAATGACTTTATTTTCAAGGAGTAACCACGATATTCATTTTTTGAGTATGCTTGATATGAACTTTCAAATAGAGCACTTCATTTCGGACAAATCAATGTTACAAACATTATGAAAGAGAAAGAGAAAAGGTTGCCTACAATTTTCTTCATTACTTTTTTCTGGATAAAAAAAAATTCATTCGAATTTTCTTCCTCACTGAATTCCATATCATTATAGTTCTGTAGGGTATATCTTTCTACTATTGATCTATGAAAGTTTTAGCATGGATTTTTTTTTTATGCATAGAATGACGATAATCCCGTGTGTGGTATTTCTTCTGATTGCATTTCTCGAACTGAGCGCAGTACAAGGACTGAAAACAAAAAATCCCTTCTATATCATTGGGCACATGGCCAACACCAATTTCGCTGTCGACTGGGCAGTGGCACAAGGTGCGAATGCCATTGAATGTGACATTCATTTTGATGGTAGTGGGAAGACTTCTCTTATTGGACATGGTCCACATTGTGACTGTGGTTGCGCTACGGGAAATGATCACATTTGTTTTCCTCTTCAAAATCAGTGTTGGGGTGTCAAAGCTACTGCAAATCCTGCGACCTACATGCAAAACATCGCACGCCATTCTGATATTGCTCTTTACTTTGTGGACTCCAAAGTTTCTTCTAGCATGGGACAAACCCTCGTTAAAGCAGGAAGAGATATCATTTCCTTCATGGACAAAAACTTGTTTGGTTATGGCTACAAGGGAAAGGTTGTCATCTCATCAGCCTCATTCGGTACGTTTGCTTATGTTCAAGCAGCAGCAATAGCAGCAAAAGCATCACGAAATGCGCATCGTTATTTCTTCACGGTAGACCAAGAAGGAAATAACTATGAGGGCGTGATGAATAAGTTATGCCCATATACAAATAATAAAGTTTACGGTACAGGCACTGGCTCATGTGGTACAGTATCGACTTATTACAATGGTATTAAAGCTGCCGTGGTGGGTAAGAAGCAAGGTGAAAATGGTATGAATTACATCTATACGGTTGACAAAGAGCACCTTATGCGAGAGTATATTAATCTGGGTGTCGAAGGAATCATGACGAATCGAATTGCTTTAGTCAAGAAAGTTGCCATGTCTCTAGGACTAAGCATCGCACGATCGAACGATCCAATTCCAGTTTCAACAAGAAATATCTGTAGTAAGTATGATGATATGAATGAAAGAGTTCAATGAATAAAGAGCTCTGTTTTTTCTCTGCTTCAAAAATTTCTTATAGTATACGGATGAAGAACTTTTGAAATTTCTATGCATCAATAGAAGTTAGACTAATTAATTTATTGGATTATGCAGTTTGATTGCTATTCTGATTTTGCGATCTTTCTCGGCAAATCTTGTATGCTTATTGAGACATAGTCGTGTGAATGCATTTTTTTCAATTCACTTATATTTCTATAGATAGGAGCTACGATTACTTCTTTCTTAACTGTGCGAATGAATAACTATATTCATCTTGCCATCAAGCTTCGATATACTCTCGACATTTTCTCCTGATTACTCTACCAGTGTGCTAGTTGATAAAATAAAAACACAAAAAAAGAAAATATCAAAATGAATAAAAGACTGCTGTTCTGTTTTAGTAAGCGTATTATTCAAAAGTATGTTTGGAACAGAAAAATCATCGAGTCGTCCAATTTTTTTGGCAGATCAAAATACGAGCGATTGAGTTGGCAGATTTCGAAAAATGAGAACTGTATAAAAAAAGCATAATTTTCTGCGGTACATTTCATATGTTGGTTACACCATGTGAATTGTACGTTCAAAAACTAATAAAAATAGTTAACTCAGAAAACAGCATGTTTCTACTAAAATTTCAAGGACAATCGAATCTATTATATTCGAGAAATCAGAGCACAAAGAAAGGTCCTTTTTAACACTTATACAGTGGACATTCTTGGAAAGAAGCATTCAAAAAGTTTACATCTGTAACATCTTGCTGTTGTAATAGCCGAGGTGTCTTTGGACTGCTTGATTCAGAATTCTCTCAATCAATAGCTCTTGAAAGATAATCACTCAAAGCTCTGTTGACGAATAATCTAGAAAGTTTCAAGCTCATAGAAAATGAAAATCGACCATCAGTTGATTTTCATTGACTTTTCTGAACCCTAATAAGATCTCCATAAGCTCTCTATACATCCTGATTTCAAGCGAATAATTTATATCGCATCAAAAGAATATTTCTTTAACAATTCGTTCTTAATTAGCACTATCGATAGAAATCGATCGTTATTTTAATTGTATTTCTTTATAAGAAAAAAAAACAAGTTCTTTTCTAATTTTGATTGTAGGAAAACGGCATGATGTGGTTCAGACGATTGAACCGAAATCAGGTCCTTGGGGTGAATTTACGAATACGGTTTATTGTGAGACGAATACATGGGCAATTGGTTTTCGACAACGTGTAGAAAAACCATGTGATAAATGTGATGATACTGCTTTGAATGCATTGGAATTATTGTGTGGAAAAAAAGATGGAACTTCTGTTAAATCAATTAAAGCACATGATGGTTTTTGGGGCGATTGGAGTGAAGTCGTTCGTTGTCCTGGAGACAAAAACTTTTTGAAAGGTGTCTCATTCAAAATCGAACCACCTCAAGAATTAGGTGATGATACAGCTGCAAATGACTGTCGATTTGCATGCTCTCGCTCATCGAATATTTTCGCATCAAATGGAGATCCATGGGGTGATTGGCAAGAGATGAAATATTGTCCTCCATCAACAGCTATCTGTGGGTTTTCACTAAAATTAGAAAATATGCAAGACAAGGAAGATGATACAGCGGCAAATGGAGCGAAATTCGAATGTTGTAGTTTATGAACTAGATTGTGTAATTTCTGCCCTAGCTTATAATAAGTTGATAAATTTTTCAAATTCTTAATTAGAAACAGCACGATCCCAATTTCATGATGCCAAAGGATGCGGGTATGGAAGCTATGCAAGAGCTCATGAAAATAAAAAAATAAAATTCAATAGGTGAATAATTTCTATTGATTTTTACTTTTCTGTTGATGTTAATGAGAGTGTGGGTGTGGATGTGAGGTTGGGCAGGTATAAGCTTTTCTTACTGCATTCACGCCCATGTCCACTCATACCCTTCATTCAGTGGTTTCATTTTTCAAATATGGATCTGTTGAACTTATTCGTAGAAGAAGGAAAAGTCATTAAAAAATAAAATCGAAGTCGATTCCGTCCGTGGATTATCTCATTATTTTTTTTATTGATACTCATAAAAATGGGAGTTCAGACAGAACGAAAATAAAATTCATCGCTGACGGAGAAAAAATGATATTAAATATTTGTATCTTTATCAGTAGATTTTTTCTAGGGTGTGGGTGTGGATGTCGGTGCGGGTAGGTGTGGGTGTGGGGTGTGGGTGTGCGTGGGTGTGGATGCAGTAAGAAAAGCTTATACCTGCCCAACCTCACATCCACACCCACACTCTCATTAA